CGTAAAGACTGTTTTAAGGTTTGTTTTCTCGTTGGATTTTGCTTTATTCACACATCTTCCATAATCTGGAGACTTATAAATAACTGTATGACTTATAAATACTCATAAATGAGAAGCTACGAAACTGTAGTTATTAGATTACCTAGTATAGATTTATATTGTACCATTCATAAAATATGCCATTTTTGTATATACAGAGGGTGGCATGGTAGTTGTTGGTGGCAAGGTTTAAGTTGGTTTGAGTAATGTATGACTCTTTTTAGAATTTACCTCAAATATTGAAGAATAGGAGTTGGGCCTGCGATTATTAATATTAAAAATAAAATACTATTAAAAGCCACGGACGGAAAAAGGCTCGAGATATATAGTTTTAGGGGTTAGAAATAAGTGATGCTTTACTTTTTCTATAGATAAATTATCTATGCTACTATATACGCGTATTAGACACGGTACATTACGTGTTGGTAGATTAGTGTTACAAATAATTTAAATTCGTGTTTTAATTTGCGGCGAATTAATCTTTTCCCCAGCTCTTACTGATTGACTCGTAGGTATGGAAATCTAAACCAACAACTGCTAACAGGACAACATAGAAATTTTTTTTTCCTATATTGAATCTACCGATAATCAAACCCGTAGCCTTCAAGATGACGTTATGAAAATTTACGTCCGAACCTTGACCATAGAGGTTCGCACCTTCTGTCAGATATGCACCAACACTTATATTTCAAAATATCTCATTTGAAAAAACTTTTGTCTGTATCTAATTTACTTTACTCCAAGATCGTCAAATGCTTTCCGTTTTATAAGTTGTACTTAAGTACGTCAAAAATTATATGTGATTTTATAGACATGTAACCAGTCCTATGACTTCCAAGGCTTTTACTCGTATCGTCAAAAACATTTCTGTATTGTTGCAAAATATATTAACGACAGAGATGGCGATACTTTACATACGTCACTATAATATCTTTTTCATTTGAAAGCCAGAAAGAAAGTGTACGCATTTACTGTGAAATATCCTATCTACAGTTTTGTGTTTATGTGATTGTAGCTTTTGAGTCCAAGGATATAAGTCTCAAATTACTTTGATGCTTTCGTTTGACTAATGATACGTAACTTTCGTGTCATGGAAGTGAATGGACAACGCACACGCACGCAGTTATGCAACAGAATTTTCAACTCTATATGTTTGGATATAACTTACAATATTGTAGAATCGGCAATGTCATTAATGTAATACGCAACGATTTAAAATTCGAACACACTCAACAACATAAAGCGATTACATTGAAGGAATTTCAACTTTTGTGTCAACATTTTAAAGTTGTCATTAGGCTAATGAATATTTCTCATTCGGTCTTTATTCAAATTTGGAATTCACGTTCGGCAGTCATATGTTTCCTTGGTTTAGTTTGGCGGTAAATCTCGTAGAGACACTTTACTTTTGATGTTATTTTTTTACGAAAAAGTTCGAAAGCGTAAATCGGTATTTAAAGTGTTATGAAAAACTGTGTTTAATTAAATAGTAAATAATCAGTGAAAATGATTGTGAAGTTATTTATGTGTTTGTTTTTTATTAGTTTTGGTGAGTTTATTATGGTATTTATTTACATTTCGATTTTATGAACGTGGTTGTTTGGTGCGAGTCATGTTGCATAAGACACTGTGTCACGGGCATTTGCTAATGACCTTCGTAAAGCTGGTAAATTGGTGAAGTATCATGTGAACATTAATTTAAAAGGTATCATCAGCCTATTTATATCCTCATTGCTGCTGCACAGACCTTACCTATTTATGAAGATAAATAGGGAGCAAGGACCATGACCCACGAAGCTGACATAGTGCGGATTGGTAGGTGCTAGCGATTGCAGATGCAGCGGGGGCCAACGGCTTATCGCGCCTTCCGAAACACGGAGGAACTGGAGAAAAAATATTTTTTGACCACCCATCCTGTGACTGGCCTTAACGAATTTTGCTTACCTTCCGCATAGCAGAACGAACGCGCTGACCATTATACATGCATATGTATTCATTTTTACAATTAGTAGTATTATTTAAAGAAAAATAGTAATTTTTAAATTTTAACCGCAACTATATCAATTTACATCGTTTGTCCACACTACTAGTGTAGTAGTAGTATTCCTCTTGCTGAAGAAATAAAAAAATATAATAGTTTTACAATAACGCCAAAATGTTCGATACTGAATATGTTACAACACTACCCCTTACAAATAATGAACTTTTGTATTTATCTGCTTAGTCATAGATGTGTTTATTTCATTAATATTAGGAAGAAACTTCAGACATTTATTATTTATTAATAATAATTTAATATTGAAATCACAGGTATCAACATTATAAAGAGGAAAGATTTCATTGTTTGTTTAATTAACTCTAAGTTTGTTTGCATTGATTAGGCTCCAAAAGTACTGGACAGATTTAAAATTTTCACCTACAGGAAGCTACAAGTAGATGACAACATACGACGATAACATAGACTATAATTTATGGGTGAAGTCGCTACTGCTACTGTTTTCTCGCGACTGCACCCATAAATTATAGTCTATGTTATATTACTATGTTATATATTTATTACATTACAATACATGTGTTATTTTTAGTAGTTCAATATACAGGAACGGTTATAATTATTGACAGTGAATGTAAAGACCTTGATTATTAAAGTCCTACAAGTAGATTATATTTATATTTACTTTATTTAACTGCAATAATTTTTGGTTACGTTATGTCTCATTCTAGTTACTTACAGCACTTGAAACAATTTTGCTAATAAGGTACAGCTTAATATCCACATGCAATAAACTTCATTTAATTGGTACTATTTTTACATTTTTATAGAGAGTTTTGCATAAATATACTGAGGTTATAAGGATTAATATTGCAAACTCTTGACTTTTTATAAATCGAGTATCAGGTAGTGATTTTATATCATCGGGCAAGCTATTGCACACATTGACAGCATTATAATGGGCAAACTGCTGTTGCTCGAATCGGTATGGACGAGTATGGTATGGATGAAAAGATTTCAAAAGAACTAAAAAAATTCAAATAATTAAAAACTAGGAAGGTAATTATTAAAAATGTTGTAACGTTGTTTTAAACTAAGTGCTCACTAAAAATCATTAACTTTAAACACGTTGAAATAAGCAGTAATTATAAAACTAGAAAATATGTTATACTTTTAAGGGCTCTAATGACATAGTCCAAAACGTGAATTATAAAATTTTCAAAGCAATCAAATTAAGTACACCACCCAGTTACATTTGCCATTTTTTTCATTTCCTCTCGTAGTTATAATATTTTTCATATGGAAAAATTAGCAGAGTGCTTTACGGAACACTTTTTCAATCGTAATGGTTTCCGAGCAATCAATTGAAAATTGATTTTGATTCCTAATGCTTCTTTTCCTGTTTCTGTTTTTCTCCATAGACGTTGATTTAATCTCGTTTTTCCTTTTGTATTGACGCCTAACCTTAGTTCATATACCTATGCTCAATTATGTTATTCATCTACGTTATTATGTTAAGAAATACGCTCAAACTCGACGATAAGCACTGCGCTGTCATAGCATAGAGCTTCAATGAAATAAAACCTTCATGACCTTTTGAATTAGTTACCTTTTTCATTTAGTTTTATTTGATACATATAATGATGTTATTATAATAGATAAACACTGTCGCCAGCATGATTTTTTTCAACATTTTTTTTTCGATTGTCATGTTACGTTTGTTTCTGTAATAGATTACACCAAATCCGATTTTTTTATTTTTGTTCTGAAAAAGCAAAAAGTATTTAAGTGTAATCAAAACCTTATTTATTCATTAAATACAGTTCCATAGTAAAGGATAGACGGCTATTTCTCAAGTAACCACTATTACAAAATACCTTACGCAAAGTTCATAGAGCACAATGCGTACAGATGTGGTAATTCTTTGAGACATGTTGGAAAAAAATTAACACAAGGATACGTTGAAGTGGTTAAGACCTTCACACAAGGAGTTCGTAACACTTTTCGAATAAAGAACATATTTAATTTGATACATTTTGGGATTTAAGCACAATGAAATTTGAAATACCTATGGATTTTAATCATTCTACCAATGTACTCTTTATATTTTTATAAAAACGACACATGATTTTTTTTTGTATATTCGTACAGAAATTAATCAATAAAATTATGTATTATTATGGAAATATTACTCTATCACTAAAGAAAATCTTTTTAAGTATCACTAACTCAAAAACAAGACGCTTTTTTTAATTTAGGTTATTAATGCAGATTTCTTAATTCCCATTATTTAGTTAATCTAGTTAGTTAATAACAAAAATAATAATGTAGTACATAAAAATTAAAGACTCATTCTTGTCTCACTAATTCGACCACTAAAGACGACCACTTCACTATAATTAGACTTTGGAATTAGTTATTTAACTACATTGTAATTTGTAATTAATCATAAATGGGATTTTGCTGATTTTGTAATTCTACTTACCTATATGAGTCACTCAAATCCACTGTAGTGACCAATCCTATTAATATTAAAAATGTGAAAGTTTCTTTGCTTTGATGTTAGTCCGTCAATCACGCCGAAACTCCTGAACGATTTTTTATGAAATTTGGTATACAGATAGGGTATTAGCTGATTGAGATAATAGGATACTTTTTATTCCACTAAACATTTCCCTACAGACCACGCAGGCGAAACCGCTAGTATTATATTCCTGCGTTAGTGAATTCTTATATTCGTATTAATAGTCGAGAAAACTAATTACTTGCGGATATTTTTAATCAATAGACGAGAATTTGAATGAAGTAAGTTGTTATTAGCTTACAATAATAAGTAGTAAAGTAACTTTTAAATTATGACATATTTTCAAGTAAGTAATTACTTCTCACGATTGCTAAAGTTCTTCGACTTTCTTGACAACGTAAGCGTCTATTTATAAGATATTTCTATTCTGTAACTGAAAACAATATGTGTCTTGATAAACAAAAAAGCAATGTCCCAGTAGCCCAGTGGCTAACTACTCGGAAAACTGAAGCAATTGTGTTCGATTACGGTTAGGACTAAATTTATATTTTCAACAACATATTTACATAAACATATATCATTTGATAACCACATTCTTTGTTAATTATCTAATATAATTAATACTTAGCCGGCTTTTATCGGTTACGTTCTGCTAATTATAGAATCGTTTAAATAATCGATTTGTCAATTGTTACTACATTGAGTGCGCAGTGATTCAGATTTATACTGGTTCTTGCACAATTTGCCGCTCGTTTATAACCAACCCACATCAAAAAGTTTTTGTTTAAAGTTTTAGATTTTGTGGATTTTCTTATGTATGTTAACGAAAGGTGAAGCTTATCTATTATCGCTGCCTTTAACAAGTCCATTAATGTGTATGGATCGAATCGAATAAGGAGAATCAGTCATGACCCATCAAGTGGATTAGTAGATGGTAGCGACAGTAGAAACAGTCGAAACTGACGGTTTAACATGCCTTCCGAAGCACGTAGCAGCTCGAGGTACTTGTAATAAAGTTTTTGGTCACCCATCCTATGGTCAACTCTTGCTTAACTACCACATTGCAGAAAGAATGCTAATCACTGTCAAATCGAGAGCCCCTCGATAATTGATGGATTAAGATGAAATGGTTTAGTTTTTTTCGTTATAAATTACAATTTATTGTGATTTTGTACACAATCTGCATTAAATTGATGGTGGAACTTTGATATTTAAATAACTAGTGAATCTATACTAATATTATAAAGAGGAAAAATTTGATTGTTGGTTTGTATGTTTGTACGATTGCAACAAATAGGCTCCAAAACCAACTGAAATGATCTTAAAAATTTTGTTACCTAAGAGTGGCAACATCCATACGCAGATTTCCTAGTCATTCAATATACAATAAAATGGTATTTTGTATTGAATGTAGCTAGATAATGCGGAGTTGACATGTGCTTGCGAAGTCGTGGGAAACACCTATGTAATTATATAGTAATTGAAAGCTACTGTTTTTCTTTTACAGCATCATGTTCAATAATTATCCCGGAGGAATTGCCATCACTCTTATCAGTTGCATACTCTAACATACCACCAATAAAAAAAGGTAAGTGGTTTATTACAAATATATTCTTAATGAAAATTGCTTAAAAATCCACTTTGTTCCTGGCACTCTTCGATGGAACTGCTCTAACCACTGAGATACCCTGGACTTAAAAGGACTGACGAATTTTTAAGCACTTGTTACTTTTTCGCAATTACAGAGCGTATTTTCATCAATGTTCAGTCAACCCACTCAAACAGCCGAAAGAAATATTTTAAAAAATTTTTAAAACTTTCGATTAGGATGCATTGATTGCAAAGTATAGCATTGTGAATGCAAATTTATCAGTTTTTGAAATAAACCGTTTATTTATTTAAAATTGACGTACGGGACGATTTAAATTTTTTTTGTCGCTCATCCAAAAGTCAGCTTTTGCAAAAAACGCAGATCGAACACATTGAAATACCACCATGGAGATATACTTAAAACAGAAGGGTTTCATTCAATTGAACAAGTTAATAGAGCTTATATAGAACCTGATGTTTGTTTCACTCGCTCACGATCGTCTCCCTTGTTTTTCAGGTACAGATTCAAGAGTCGGATTCGGTTTCGCATTCGGCAACCATGCCGATTTCCAAGTGATGCTTGAGTTGGGGCCTCAGACTGAAACAAAGAATTTGAGTAAGTTAATTAATTGGTCATTTTTGATAATATTATTATGCGGGTACATCAGTTGGGTTAGCTTTGGAAAATATATATTTTTAGACAATTTAATACAAATATGCTTTTTTGTATTACAGTATAGTCAACTGTGTAGTCCAAAATTATAAAATTTAATGCATACGTTTTAAAATGAATTGCAGAAATTTTACATTTTGTAGTCAGAGCTAAAAAGAATATATGTTACTCTAACAAATTATTAATTCAATAATAGATATACAAATTTCATCTCAATGCGTAGTTTTGGAGCATGTTGTAAGTCTCAAATCACACAAACAAATTTTAGTGGACTATTTTTATTTATTATACTTTAATTGACGTCAAAAGGCTACATTCCTTCATATAACAATAGTAGAAAAACCAAACCATCCTATAAATAATGAAAAACAATTGATAAATCTGACATTCATGCTCCCATTTCATTTAAATTACAAAATTTAAGCCATACTGACAATTATTAATGAATTATGATAAATGGAATGCCATTCATCTGAAAATATATCGCATCGCTGCTCCCTTACTCCCGAACGCAATTGCGACCGACCGACATTGCAATTTGATTGGTTCACTAACATATTCTGGCGGTAGTGTACCCAATCAAGAGCAAGAAACGGTACAATTGCAATTTCGATCGATTGCGATTGCTTTCGGGAGTAAGGGGCCTGATTAGTATCTAGGTAATCTAATCTAAATCATAGTTTTAAGAACCTTCCTAACTTTATTATATTACTTATTGTGGTAATCATAAACAAACGAACACCACCATCAAGAAAAAAATCTTGCAAGATATATTTATCATGAAAAATTTTCTTTTTTCAGCTGGTACGGGTTTTGAATCTACAAATAGCAAAAGACAAGCGACTTTGCCTCCATCGCCTAAACTAAATAAGAACAGAGAAAAGGTAACATAGTTTGATTTAACGACTATAAAACTTCGATATTAAAGTAATTAGGATAGTAAGCGAAGTAAGTTTAAATCATAGGACTTTCATGTAAAACCTAAGATTTACCTATTTTAATGATAAAAGTCCGATTATTCTGTGATTATGAATCCTGTAAATCTTGGTTTTTACCTCAGGGACACGGTAAATGTTGATAGATACGTTCAAACATACAACGCGGAGTTTAAATATTTTTCTGCCTTTCACGGTCAGAAGAATAATTGCAGAGGCGTAGCTACCGCCGTATAAAATAAAATAAAAAAATATATATGCCGTATCAATTATACGGGGTCCCCGAGCCACTGGGGCCCCCAATGTGCGTAAGAAAAAAATTGTAAAAACTTCCCAAATTCAAAAAAGTCAAAATAGCAATTTCTTTTTCCCACGTAGAGCGTGCGTTTCAAAGTTGGCAACACCCTAAAAACGATTTCAGGGGCTGCGGGATATCTCCGTTTAAGTTAGACTTTGACCGCCCTTTATTTACCGCCGTTTGTTGATAAATGCTAAGAATAAGTTACAAGTAAAACCTAAAAATTAACAAGATACGGCTTTTGTAGTAACTGTATGATATCTGTGCACTACATCCTATACGTTGGTCTTTTGATTTATCTTTCAATTCGATCAGTTCAGTGGTTTCGATGCATATCGCACGTTGAGAATGACAATATCACTAACCAAAAACGACGTATTTTTTACTTTTTGCAACATTTTCCTTTGTTAAGTAGGTATAAACTTTAAAATGCAAAGATCCCTGTAAACGTAGCTTGCATAGAAACTGCTTGGTGGCGTAGTGACGATACGTTGTTTAGAGGGGCTGATTACAATTTCTTGAACTTTAAACTCTCATTACTCAAAATCGCATTTTTTGCATTGTGTCACTATCGTTCTCAACGTACGATATCAGCTCTGACAGACGCACAGGCAGACACATATTTAATTATTTTGTAATATAAAACCCTAAACATTTTTGATACATTTAGTTGAGAGATCAACAAAAACTCTTAATTTAATTTGACATAAACTATGTCAAATAAAATTAAGAGCCCATTTCAAAAATACAAATATATACAATACAAAAAATAAAACATTTAATTGTGTATTGAATGCCTACGACATCTGCGTATGGATGTAGCTTCTCTTAGGTGACAGAATTTTTGAGGTCAAATAAACAAAAAATCACATTTTACATTTTTATAATATTATTAAAGATACCTATATAACATCTATGTACTCCAGCCTATACGTTCGTCTTTCAACCTTTTAACATAATCAGCATAATCGCTCTTATTCTTGATTATTTCTAAGATTTTGATTTGATAACTCAAGATATACTTTCAAAAATAAAAATGCATTTGATTCACAACATGAAAATAATTTTATAGATACCAAGACTATAACATGGATTTATAACTTTTTTTTTTGCTTTCAATATGGCAAAAAATTTAAAGCATAAACTATTTATAGTTTCTCCAAACGGATGCTGGCAAGTATCTCTCCAATTGGGCGCAAAAAATGAAGCAGCCCCCGAAAGTTGTGAAGACCTCCCCGAGACCTGGCGAAGTGCCAAACCTCGAGGACTCCGTGGTGGAACTAGTGAAGAACCAGCGAGGGGAATACGAGATACACCAGCCCAAGCCAGGAAACATACCACAGAAAGTTTTGGATGACTTAAAGAGGTAAGTTAGTAAAATGATAAAAAGAATCATGAGGGAAAAGAAAAAAATCCCAAAAGAAAGCTGGAAAGACCTTTCCCGCTAACAACACAGAAAAGAAAAGAAACATGTTAAAATACGGGAGACAAATTGGCTGGTAGAATTCTTTGTAAAAATAAATCGAACACATTTAAAAAACCACAATCACAAGTGATAAAGTAATACAATTGGTTTTTTCCTCAACAACCGCACAGAGAGCCGAAACTGGGACGAAGGAATCATTATTTGCTAGATCACGGGAGTTTTGTATTAAATTGTAATAAATCCCCATTTTCCCATAGATGTCGTTTACATGTGGTAGCATAGAGAATAGAACGTTTTGAAATTGTTTAGAAGTCTTGCAATAATAATATTGGTGGATGCGCCATCTATTAGCAACGTTTAGAACTGCGGTGGCTTAAAGCTGTGCTTATAATAATTTACAATGTAAAGCTTAAAGCTGGATCGCTAGATGGCGCTACTACTAATGTATCCAAAGTAATGATTTACATAGGGTATGTTCCGATATAAACTGCGAGCACTGCGCAGTGGTCTTACTGCTGAAAAATCCGTTCCGTTATGGACTGCCAGTACACTGCTACAGTACCGTAGGGAAATTTATGACGTCATGAATTGGCGCCATATTTGTACTGTGAGCACTGGAGATTTCGAGGTGCAGTGCTCGCAGTGCTTTTGACCACGTGATCAGTCGAAACAGATAAAATAAAATACTTACGTTTATTATAAGATGGATTTGATTGATAAATAATTTTTTTATACAATTTTCAATTTTATAATATTTTCTTTTGAAAAGAGGGAATCTTTATATTTATATTCACCTTACATTAACAAATTTGAAAATGGCGCCAAAAATAGGATTAACAGTATACTGGACTGCGTTCCGTTTTAAAAAGTCACCAGTATAACTAGCTATAAAGGAACGGGCTTCCAGTATACTAAATTGACGTCATACTGTTCAGTGGTCGCAGTGTATATCGGAACATGTTTAAAAAATCCACTCTGTCCCTGGCACTCTGAGATGGGACTATTAGATATTTATACGTTAAATAATCATTAAGATGAATATCATGACTCATTTTCACAATCTAATAATAAACATTTTATATTTTAGATTGTATGGCGTGAAAAAAGAAGAAGCCAAGCGATTAGGAGAACAGAAGAGAACACAGGAGGAAATCAAGAAGATCACAGAGGATCTTTCTAATGTAGACTTAGATTGAGAGCCCCGAATAAATTTAAAAGTTACTTAATCTAAGTAAAAAATTTATCTAGAATATAGAAATGGGATTTTTTCTACAGTTTGACAAATAAACATATGGAAATTAAGAAAACTAAGTAAAGTAGAAATTGGCCAATTGTAAGGATATTCAAAGGAAAAAAAAAATTTTTTGTTGTAGAATTAACTACGACTCTTTAACGATGTTTGACGACTGTAGTAGTAGAGTGGTTCGCACGCTGATTTGAAGGTGTCACCACCACTGAAATCCCAAATTTGATTCCCGGTTTGGTCAGTGTACAAAATAAAATTTTCTATATTGTCTCGGGTTTGAGTGTTGTGGTATTTTTGTTTTTCAGATATTCCTTAACACTAGTTTAAACTTTAGCTACTCGACTTGTAATTTGAGCAATGTATGTGGTGTTGCCTAATATTACACATAGTATGTCATGGACTAAGCGATTAATGGGCATTATAAAAAGTGCCCAAGCAGTATGAAAAGTGCCCCTATGTGAGAGGGCAATTTGATAAAAACCAATCAAATTATCAAATTGATCGTGTATTATTCATGATGCGCGTAACGTATTAGGGAGAACAATAGGCGATTGGACAGCAATGAAATAAAAAAATAAATTGTGTGTGGTTAAAATGTTCTTAAAGTTTAAAGATTATTTGCCGAATGTTTCTGGCTCAATAACAATTATTTATGTTTTTAAATCAATAAATCAAAACAGATTTTTCAATATTTTTAGTCTGTGTCTCACGTCGAATGAAACATCAATCAGAGCGTGTGACGTCATTTGGGGGTAAATTGTTAGTAAAGTAACTAGGAAAAGCGCGGGAAACATTCAAAGTGCAAAATAATTTTAATGTTTTTTTTTTTTATTTGTAACTGGTTTCATGAGTCAGTTTACTGTTTTATATATTTGTGAGTTTACATATAAGTACTGCAGACAATGATTAATTTTTCCACTGAAAATCCCTTTTGTTTACCCCATAAATGACGTCACGTCTTCAGATTTTATAAACGAAATTATAAACTTAGTTTTGGGTACATATTGTGGTTCATTTACATTCAATTTTTTTTTGTGTGAATAAGCGCCCGTAATTATAAATTTAAAATACTTTTTAGAAAGTAGTCCGATCCCCTATTAAAACGAGGTTTTATTATATTTTAATATGTAAACAGCTCAGCTTTCCGAGCAATCCTGTGTCTTTTTATTGAGATTGAGATATATGAGAGATATAAATTATATCATATTTAACTGAAAATGGAAATTGTCTTACCTATCACCTGATAGGTTAGAAGTAAAGAGGTATTTTTTTTCAGACCGTTGAAATCACATGACCTGTAAAAATTGTTGATATGGTGTTTTGGCTTTATGGATTTTAATTCCTTTGTCCTTCCTTGTTTGTTCTTCACTGTGCAGTATACATATGTATTTTTATCAGATTGTTCAAACACCACATCTCAATATTTAAAATGTCATTGCAACGTGAGGGGCCGTCCATAAATTACGTCACTCAAAATTCTGGATTTGTAACCCCCCCCCCCTCTTGTCACATGTTTATCTATACAAATTCTACTAAATATTGTTCTAATGTCACAGTTCGTCGAACCCCCCCACCCTCCTAAAGTGTGACGTAATTTATGGATGACCCCTAATGTGCGTTCATTTTGAGTTATCTTAATTTATCTATCACTCATCATAAGTATACGTTGCGGAGGTTATATAACACTGCAAAATCGAGAAACAGTTTTCAGTTAAAAAAACAAACAAGAGAAACAACACTTAGTATTTAAAGAATATGAGAGGGACAACATATAATGACTACAATAAAATGTCTATGGTGACCCATGCGAAGGTCGGCTTTAACGAATATTGCTTACTTTTCATGATTGTCCAATAGCTTCCATATAAATGCAGCGTCGGTGAACTGTCAGTTGGGATCAAGGGGCCGATGTGTCTATTAGCTTATAAGCCGCTTAGGGCGGGGATATAAAACAAGCGAAGCTACGGAATTTGGTGTAAGGTATAGGAATTAACCGGATTACTTTTAAATATATTTAATAGTAACAGGGACTATTAATTAAATACACTGTGATTACGTTAAATACTATCACAGTGCCCAGTATTTTGGAACACGAAAAAAATATAAAAATAAAATATTTTATTAAGTTGTAATTTCAAAACAGAAATTATAATTGATTTTTTATTATGTTATTCATTAATTACATGTCATAAACACCTATTCTTTTATATTGCTTATTTTCCAACCAAAACTGAAACTGAAACCGAATTTTGGCACCAGTCTCAGTATTATACTCCGACCGAAACCGAAATTCGGCTTGGGTACGCGCGCGTGGTATAGTTACTTTTGGTAGCATATCTAAATTTGCTAAAATAAAAATTTTATAATCCTAGTACCGCTATCTATCGGAGACCAGTGGTAACAATAATTCTTATCTTTTGATGTTATTTTTTTTTCTCAAAAAGTTGATTAGTTAAAAACAAAAAAAAAAATTGGCAAATCTATTACCCCCTCTTTAAGGGGGTGGATGTAGATTTCCAAAAGAAAATAATAAGCGCATTTCTCTTAAATAAAAAATAGTCTGCATACTAATTTATGACTGTCTTAAACATTGCGGAAAGACTAATACAAAATTTATTTCTGTCTTTTAAAGGATAAGTGGCAGATTTCTAAAAATAAATTGATGCAAAGACAAGATTTCTGCTGTGATCAAACTACAACCCACCAATGCTTATAACAAACAAATCGAACAAAACTAACCGATAAGAGCGCGTGAACTCCTGAATGCAGTTTTGGTTTTTGATCGTAGTTTTGGTGGGTTCGCCACCGAAACTAGACCAAAACCGAAACCGAACTTTCAATTGGTAACTACACTATCTGTAAATAATTTGTAGAAGACAGAATCAAACAAATTGTTTTAATGATTGAAGCTACTGAAGATTTTTCATAAGCCATGCATGTTTTAAACGATTGGGTTATTATATCAAAAGGTTCATTGTATAAGTAGTTGATTAAAATTATTTAAATCTCACTACAACCTAGGATAGGAACTTTAATAAAGATTTATAAACTCACGAAAAAAAAACATCATATGTCAAGTACAAAAGATCCTTGATCGTTTGCTTATAAAAGTATGAATCTTTTGACTTGGACCACACGCTGTGATCTCTTAATAAATCGCCCGTAAGTACTTATATGACGTTTAAAGTACCAACCTGTTGTTTTTTAACGGATTTTACGCTCAGTACGTGCCTATAAACCTGTCTATTTTGTGCATAGTGGCTGCTTAATAGGAAGATATTATTTTTGAAATAAGTTGAGTGAAAAAATTCAATAGATTTCACATCATTTAAACAAATAGTCAATATTCAAACAATTTTTGTTACAATACTACAAGGTGAATATCACATTTCATATCAACGTAGTGTATCTTCTGATGTTTGGAATTATAAAAGGTACATTTTCGTTAAGCTATATTTCTGACACATCAGCAGAGAGACCACGTATCTGAAATCGATATTAAAGCTTATTGAAAACAGATCGCGTGTGATCGGAAGGTGTTACTAAATATAGAGAGATAAATAGATGTGAAGGTATATTTCAGATTATAATACTATCTGTAATAGCCATGATGTTATGGCCATATTTCGTTCAATTTGACTACATCGACAATTCTTATTGGCGGATAAACAAGTAAGTTGGCAACACTGCTGTAAAATATAATTCGTTCGGTGTAATTAAAATGCTAAATTCTATTGATAGTCGTGGCTACAAAGTTAGTCGGCCTCACCTCTGGCAACTCTGCTGTGTCTCAGTGATCCAGTAGTTTTGGTGAATTTTTTAAGTATATTTCTATGAGATAACTGGTGTTTTCATTTGATATCAGCTTTTCATGTCCGGTGGCTTGTATAATTTCAGAATCTATCGCAATAGTTTCAAAAGTATAGCGACTGTGATGGTTTTTAATGGAATTAAGTAACATTTGAAATTGCAATCTTTTTGGGAACAAATACTGATTGGAAAGATGAAAAACATAATAAAAACTTGGTTACTTAAAAGAAATATTTGCTTGTAACGTTTGCCTTAGACAAGTCCATTTAACGTCAAATTAACGATGTCGTTCATTCAATGTCTTTCAAAAATACGTCGCGCACCCAATCTCTAGTACATGTCAAATTGTAGTAGCGTGAAGTTCGTGAATATATTTCAAAATGTCATATTGAATGGGATAGCGATGTATTTTAAAATTAGACAATTAGTCTACTGGTTACAAATCAGTATAGGTATGTAACTATGATTTTATGATAAAATATCTTCTGTCTTTGACTTTTGAACCCGCAGCTTACTCATACTTGGAAGAAAATTCCATTTTTTGCTAGCATTTACAACTTTTAAGGTAACTTTTAATTAAACATCTCAGGGTACATGGGATTGGTAAATTTTGAAGCAATTTTCGTTTAAACTATAATCCTGGTAATATTATAAATGTGAAAGTTTGGATGTTTGTCCCTCAATTACGCCGAAACTACTGAACGGATTTTGATGAAATTTGGTATATAGAGGTTATTAGCTGACTTAGATAATAGGATACTTTTTATCCCACTAAACATTTTCTTAGGGTCCACGCAGGCGAAGCCGCTGGCGAAAGCTAGTAATTAATAACTTATAAGATCTATACAAAACTCGAATTTTCCTAGTCCATTTTAAGCCTTAAGTAATTGATGATAGAGGTTAAAATTCATTGCAAATATTTGACATATTGTGGTAACATGACATGCAGCCGCGTGTTATGAAAAAACAGATTAAATTATAAGTTGTTTACATTTAAAATTTATCACAATAAACACATATTTCTTTGGTTATGGCCTGTTTGATTGAAGTTATATATTTTTTACTTTTTTAATTGTAATTTTCTTGACCTGTTAGGAAATGTTACTTAATAAATAAAAGTATTGACCTAAAAGAGGAAAT